TTTCAATTTATTTTGTGTTTTGTGCTCTACACCAGAAAAGTTAACCTTTAAAGACACAGAAGGCCTCGTTTTTAACAATAGAAGAAACAGCAAAGAGGTATCTACTTTCACAAGGGGAGAGAAGGATGCAGGTATTCATCCCGGAGCCCTGGCGAGCCTGGGCTTCAAGGACCTCAGGTGCCAACCACAAGGTTGGAGCTTTAAAACCACCAGCTGCTCAGCTGGAGAATGACGTGGCTTCTGTCACAACTGCAGCCCTGGAAACCCTCTGTCCTCCTGGGTCGTTAGGAGCCACAACTCTCTCAATGCCAACTGGCAAGTAATGCTCAGAGCTCGTGGATCTTTCTCTTCACCCGCACGCTACTCGACAAGATGGGTTCTGTGATGCCGCATGAGGTGTGAGTTCGAGATGAAAGCCGCCCCGCACCTGGCACACTCATAGGGCTTCTCCCCAGTGTGGGTTCTCTGGTGCACGGTGAGGCTCGACCTCTGCCGGAAGGCCTTGCCGCACTCACTGCACGTGTAAGGTTTCTCCCCGTTGTGGATCCTCTGGTGAATGAGCAGGTACGAGCTGCACGTGAAGGCCTTCCCGCACTCGTTGCACACGTAAGGCAGGTCTCCACTGTGAATCCTCTGGTGGACGATAAGGCAAGAGAGCTGGCTGAACGCCTTCCCACACTCACTGCAGTCGTAGGGCTTCTCGGCCGTGTGGATCCTCTGGTGCACGATCAGGTGTGAGAAGCAGCTGAAGGCTTTCCCGCACTCTTTGCACTCATATGGCTTCTCACCGGTATGGCTTCGCTGGTGCACGATAAGGTTCGCGCTCTGGGTGAAGGCTTTGCCACAGTCGTGACAGGCAAAGGGCTTCTCCCCAGTGTGGATCCGCTGGTGGACGATGAGGTTGGAGCTCCGAGTGAACGTCTTCCCGCACTCATTACATTCGTAGCACTTCTCGGTAATGTGGACCTTCTGGTGCCGGGCGAGCTGGGAGCTGTAACTGAAGGCTTTCTCACACTCGCTGCACTTAAAGGTCTTCTCCAAGGAGTGGATTTTCTGATGCACAGTCAGGTTGGAGCTCTGCGTGAACGCTTTCCCACATTTGGAACAAACGTAAGGCTTCTGGCCGGTGTGGATTCTCTGGTGCACCACGAGGTTGGCGCTCTGGATGAAAGCCTTGCCACACTCCTGACATTCGAAGGGCTTCTCTCCAGTGTGGATCCGCTGGTGTACCACCAGGTTGGCGCTCTGACTGAAGCCCTTCCCGCACACGCTGCACGTGAACGGTTTCTGCCCAGGCTGCCCCTTCGGATTCCTCCCCAGACCGGCTGCACTGAGGCTGTACCTTCCCCTCGAACTCCGACACTTTGGGTCTGGCTCCTCCTTGATGTCCTCATGCTCCTCTTTGAGGTTCTCAGGCAGGCGACAGTCCTTCACTGTCATTTGCCTGAAATCTTTCTTTTCCCTCTTGATCCTATGCCTTTTTAACATGTTCCCCGTTTTACAGGCGTCTTCGAACTCAGGATCCTCAGGTTCAGTTTTCTGGATTCTTCCTAATATTATTATGGGTTTTGCAGCTTCATCACAAATTTCCGTTTTTAGAACTAGTGACTTTGGGCTCCTGAGTTCAGCATCTGGAAAAAAAGAACACAAGTGTTCCATTTTTTGGGCCTAGCCAAAAAGAGTAGAATCAAGAGGTAAAAGTTACCAAGTGTGTGACATCAGTGTCTCTGAAACGTGACTTTATCAAAGATAAAACATGACTTTACCAAAGAATCCTCTCCGTCCGTAGGTTCCTCTGCTGGGTCTCATACTCTCCCGCACAGGAAGAGCGGGAGCCACTGATGTTTCACCCTGGAGTTTAACAGCACTGCCCCTGACCTGTGTGAGGTAAACCCAGCGCCTCAGCCACAGAAGACCACTCTCCACAGCTCTCCTTACAGAGGACTGACCGGATCATGAAGACCCCTACGAAGGGATACCAGGAGCCCAATTCCTTCTCATAAAGTCCAACCGCCTGAACATTCTGTTCTCCATAGAGA